ACCTCAGCATCCTCATCTCTGCTACCTTCATCCTCTGGATATGGGAGTTCTTAACCGGCCAACACTCTGCCCCATACAACATGGCCGGTCTAACCACAGCTCTATAAAACTTACCTTTGAGTATCGGTGGCACTTTCTTGTCACACAAGACTCCAGATGCAAGCCTCCATTTCATCCATCCCGCCCCTATACGGTGAATGACATCCTCGTCGATCTCTCCGTCCCCATGAATCACCCAAGGTACTTGAAGCTATCTCTCTTGGGGATGACCTATGATCCAAGCCTCACGTCCCTGCCTACTTCCCTCGACTCAGCGCTAAACTTGCACTCCGAGTACTGTGTCTTAGACCTGCTCAATTTGAAACCCTTAGACTTGAGGGTTTGTCTCAAAACCTCCAACCTCTTGTTAACACCGACCCTCGTCTCATCAATTAGAACTATGTCATCAGCAAATAACATACGCCATGGCACATCCCTTGAATATGGTGTATCAGTGCATCCATCACCAAGGCAAATAAGAACAGTCTAAGCGCAGAGCCTTGGTGTAATCCTATAACAACCAGAAAATGCTCCGAGTCGCCTCCCACAGTCCTAAACTTAGTCTTAGCTCCATCATACATGTCTTTGATCGCTCTTATATAGGCTACCGGCACGCCCTTTGCCTCAAGACATCTCCAGAGTACCTCCCTAGGGACCTTGTCATACGCTTTCTCCAAGTCAATAAACACCATGTGCAGATCCTTCTTCTTATCCCTGTACTGTTCCAGCAACCTCCTAATAAGGTGGATAGCTTCCGTAGTGGAGCAACCCGGCATGAACCCAAACTGATTGTCGTATATAGACGTCGTCTTCCTCACCCTCACCTCCACCACCCTCTCCCAGACTTTCATGGTATGGCTTAGTAATTTGATAACCCTATAATTGTTACAAAACTGGATATCACCTTTGTTCTTGTACAACGGTACCACTGTACTCAACCTCCACTCCTCCGGCATCCTCTTCGTCCTAAAAATTACATTGAACTACCCAGTCAGCCACTCCAATCCCGCTCTACCCACACACTTCCAAAACTCAACTGAAATTTCGTCTGGACCGGTCGCTCTACCCCTACTCATCTTATGAAAAGCCCCCACGACCTCCTCCGCCTTAATGCGCCTGCAATACCTAAAATCTCGGAGACTCTCCGAATGCTCCAAATCCCCTAGCGCTATATCCCGGTCCCCCTCCTCGTTTAGAAGACCATAGAAGTATGTCTGCCATCTCTACTTAATCTGGGGCTCTCCCATCAATACTCTACCATCCTCGTCTTTGATGCACCTTACTTGGTCCAGATCCCGGGCCTTCCTCTCCCTCGTTTTAGCCAGCCGAAACAACCTCCTGTCCCCGCCTTTCTCCCCCAATTCCTCGTATAGACGACCAAACACTGCATTTTTAGCCTCTGTGACCGCCAGCTTTGCCTCCTTCCTCGCCACCTTGTACCTATCTCTATTCGCTCTCCTCTCATCCTCGCTTGTGCTCCCTGCCAACTTCGCGTATGCTACCTTCTTCGCCTCCACTTTACCTTGGACTACATCATTCCACCACCAGTCGCCTTGATGTCTGCCAGAGAAACCCTTCGATATCCCTAGAACCTATCTCGCCGCCTCCCTCACGTAGTTCGCCATCGTTGACCACATAGTGCTCGCGTCTCCACTACTCCTCCAAGCTCCCATAGCGGATAACCTCCCCTCCAACTCCTGGGTTTTATCCTTGGTTAAAGCTCCCCATCTAATCCTCGGTTGGCCACGAGCATACCTCTTCTTCCTCTTCATCATAATGCCGATGTCCATCACTAAGAGCCTATGCTGAGTCATGAGAGTCTCTCCCGGGATAACCTTGCAATCCTTGCACAATAGGCTTTTTTATTTTTTATTTTTTTTTTCTTTGTATTATGTCTTGTAACTTTCCAAATTATCTTCTTCTTTTTCCACACTAAAGCAATTTATCTACATCCTTCTTTGGATTATCAATTCTCTTCTTACAAATAATTATTTATAATTTCTTCTCTTATAAGCTATTAATTCCCAAATTTTTAAAATAATTATTACATCTAATTTGTGAAAATTACCTACAAATAGGTAATAAATTTATAATTGCATCGTATAATATATTTATATAGTATTAAAAGAAGAAGAAAAGGCCTTCATATTAAGCCAAGTGGCAGCCTCATAATAGACCACTTGGCAATTCAGGGCAAAGTTAGTTAGGATAAGTAATACTCCCTCCGGCCCACAATAAGTGACCAATTAGCCTTTATATTTTGGTCCAAAATAAGTGTCCATTTATATAATCAAGAAAAAGTTTAATTTGTTTTTTCAAAATTATCCTTATGTACGTATCGCTAAAATGTCTTTTACTCCTCACATTCAATCATACTGCAACATTTAATTAAGGGTAGTTTAGTCACACTAACTATTTTTATCTAAAATTTAGTATTTTCTTAATGGGTGTGCCCAAGGCAAATTGGTCATTTATTGTGGACCGGAAGGAGTAATTAGTTTCTTTTTGAATTTAATTTTTTATTTAAAATTATGCATTATGTGTTGTTAATAATTAGTTACTCTTTTTGCATTTTGAATTTAAACATACTTAACTATTTTTTTTACAAAAACAATAATTTTTTATATATAAAATTATTTCTATTTTACGCTCAATGTCATCTTTCGAGTTCGATACTCAGAATCATCTTGTTACAGCTACCATAGCTATACAAAATTTCATCCGGAGATATTCTTCTACCGATAAGGAATTCAACTATTATACTAATGAAGACATTACTGCAGATTGAGGAAGGAGATGGGCCTTCTGGTATTCCTTTAGAAATGCAAGGCAAGTCTTTTAATAATATAGAGGCGTCCTATGATAGAATTAAGGATAAAATTATTGAGAAATGTTATCATGTGTGAATGACTTTGCTTATCATTTCATGGTGGATTATCAATATATAGTAATTTGTGGAATAGACTTCTAATTCATTGTGAATGGTGTATTTTGATTATTCAAATCATCATGTAAACAATAAGTAATTATACTAGATAATATTAAATATTTTGGTATAACTATATATGTTATATTGAATTGAATCTTTAATATGTATGTACTTTATGTTTTATATTTTAATTAAATAAAATAAAAATAATAAAAGTCTCTTACAATGAATATTTAAGTTTATTTTTCTATTTAAAATAATTATTAGACCGTTGTACTATCATTTTTGGTAAGTTGACACTCAAAAGTACTTTTTAGAATGATCGGCCAAACACAATTTGTTTACCAAATGTCGCCACAAAGTACTTCTTGAATGAATTGGCCAAACACAAACTGTTTTTTTTTTTCAATAGTACTTTTGGATAAAGCACTTCTGAAAAAAAACTGCTTTTCAAAATAAATAATTTTTGACAGCTTGGCCAAACAGGCTCATATATAGATCGCACGATTACAGGAAAAGATCGCACGATTACAGGAAAAGCTCATAATGACCCTATGTTATAAACGATCTAATGGTCTACAAGGGTATGTTTCAAGTCATTGGGTTGTTATTAGAATAATTACCCAATTCATTCTCTAACCTGAAGTTACTATTCATCATTTCCTCCAACAAAATTCATTTTTAGGCTTACTTCAGTATCATATTCAAACCGTAATTTCTATTAAGATTATTTAATCATCATAAACAAAACTTTAGTTGTGAGATTACCTATTTTGGCTCAAACCTTAACTTGAAAAAAATTTGTGTTCTTGGTGATCTCTTAAAAATCTGAGAATTTTATGAATTGTGAATGTTACAACATGCATTAAATAGTTAAAATCTACCAAAAATCACCATAAATAACTCACCTTATGAAACATCACGAAAGTGCCGTCAAATTCTAGAAATTGCAATACCAAAAACTATACCACATACTAGAATTAGAGCAAAATAATAAAAATTACACATTGAAAAATTGCAACCAAACATTAGAAATATACCAAAAATAAGAGAAACTGCAAAAGTTAAAATATGAGTTTGTATACGGTCGAAATCAGGTATGCCCGATCTCACGGGCTCGAAGAATCGCTTCAAGCCCGAGTTCAGGATGGGTCGAGTCCGAGGCCGATGAACTGAGTCCGAGCCCGATGTACAGAGTACAGGGCTCGAAGATCGGAGTACTCGGCGAGCACCGAAGCCGAGTATGATCGACACCGAAATGATGCCGTTACGGGTTTGTTACAGAAGGACAAGATTCCCGCCACATCCCCAAGATCATGGCGTAAATTATGAAATAGATTTGTACGAATCCGTACTAGGTGGTTAGACAGCTGTCCCAATAAGATTCTTTACTGTAAATAGAAATGTACCTTATTTAGGGTTCCCCTGCTATATAAAGGAGACCTCAATCATTTGTAAACATCATCAATCATTAGCAAAGAATATACTCTCTTACTTTTCTGCCTACTGCTCATCTGAATCATCTTATTATTATTTTATTGTTCTTAGTGTTCTTGCTTATTTACCTCGAGGTCGCCTTTGCTCGAGGTCGAGGTCTGCTTACACGATTCGTTTGACTTGCCTTACTCTTAAATTTATACATTAGATTCCTCGTTTATCAATTAGTATTGGATTAAATCACATATCTTTAAACCCACAAACAAGTTTAATTGTTACTCGTATTTTTTAGGTATACGGAGTTCCCATTAATTATTATTATTTTATATAGTTCCCGTTAATTAAATCAACAGCCAAGGTTTGTTAGATAATTGTCGGAGGCAAAAGTGCTCATTTTTACAAACTTTAAGCACTAGAACAGCTTAGAGATAATTCTAAAGGGACTAATTTAGATTTATCTGAAACATAAATGACCATTTCGCCATTATTTAAATATTTTGAAGAAAAAAAGAAGACCCGCAAACACCACTCCGACCCGCGGATCGGAATCCGGGTTAACAAAGGTTTCAGACACTTCCAGAGGTCCGTTAGAACTTGAAAGAGAAAACACAAGTCCACTCACTACACATTCATCGTTTCACAATTTTTGCACAACGTCAGAACTCCACCCACCAAGATTAGCTATCTGCAGAACCGAATACAGAGAAGAAAAGGGTTATTATAAAATAAAACAATTCCAAGAAAGAAAGATGAGTGGAGGGGATGATAAGAAGAGACTAATCAAGTTGTTCTGCCCTTCACTACCAAAGATAGTAGCAATAATGGCTTGGGAAGACCAAAGACTTGATCTTGGTTTCATTGCACGTGTTTTTGGGCTTGACCCAGCACATATAAAGCTAAATGGTCACTTTATTAGTAGAGGGGTTGATTTTATTGCTTCCTCTGTTACGTGGAAGTCCCTTCTTTCGTTCTTCTCTGCTCGTGGGTTGTCCATTGGTGACTCTGATTCTCGCGCTCTCATTGTTGAAGGAAAGCTCTCTAAAGTTGGTTCCAAAAGTAAGCCCCCTTTGTTATCTCTTTGCTTCTTTTTTTCTTTCCTCTTTGTTGAACTATAGCTTGATATAATAGCAAGGGCGGACGTAGTGTACAAGTTATGTGTTCATCCCACCCAGTAACTTTGACTCAAATTTTGTCTGTGTTTAAAAATTTATTAAATAAATACAAATAATACATGTCGAACCTACTAAATCAAATGAGCTATGGTAGAATTTCGAACTCAAACTCAAACTCAACAACAACAACAACCCAACCCAGTAAAATCACACCAGTGGGGTCTGGGGAGGGTAGAATGTAGGCAGACCTTACCCCTACGCCTGAGGGAATAGAGAGGCTGTTTCCGGGAGACCCTCGGCTCAGAGACAAACTCATGGAGTTCATATCTTGAATTCGGCTATGTAAAATTTGAACCTAGTTTCGAATTTTTTTCTTGTGTGGGGGGGTAAGGGGGGGGGGGGGGGGACACTTCAAAATATTTTTGGCAATGGGTAGCAGTGAGTTTAAACCTTTACCAGCTCCTGTAACAGATCAAACTGAGTGAACTTCTCATTGAAAAGCTTAAATTGTTGGATAGATGAAACACATATTGTTTAATTCTGCAAAAATAATAAATGGAAAATCAAATATTGAGTTCTATTTTTAGGCTGAACCAGGATAGGGTCTATATGGGAATCATGAGAATGTCTTATTACTTTATATTTTAGGCTAACAACACCAATTGTTTGATAAAATTTGCGTTGTTATATTTTCCATTTCAATATATAACCATGCCAATTTTATCAAACAATTTGACGGGGCTTCTGTGTTGTTGATACACACAACATACGCACACACACAGAGAAACATATGCTTACTTGTGCTTTATGGAAGTAGTGATTGTTGAGAATATGCAGGGTTGGATTATGTAATCCTCAAGAAATTGATTGCCCTAGATGAAAATTCTGCTTCAATGTTCATAGACATCTTAGGTTTTGCTGGGAGAAACCACAAATAAGATAAATCTACAAATGGTGGTAGATATTTAGGACTACTAATGTTAAGTGTAAATACAAGCAGTAACTTGTGATAGTGTTGGAACTTTTGTGCAGAAGTAAAACCGTGAATTTATAGCCTGCGTTTTGCTCAAAAGTTCAATTTGATTATTCAGGAAGGTTTAAGTTTTGCAAAATTACTAGGCTTTAGTGATGTTAATGTTCTGGAACATGAAACGGAAAAAAGGTTTCAGATGAGTTTTCAAGCTTTATCTGTTTGTACATAACGGGATAAATTATGATTTTCTTTTACTCTAATCCATCGGTCCATAGCCTTATAGATCTGATATACAGATCTATTGATTTTGCATTTTCTCTTATTTGTGACTTCAAAACATAAGATGCAGAATTGATTAGTTCCTATAAGCTTCTAGATTGAAGGATTACAGACCAATGGCGATGACACCTTGACATTTCTTATTCATCAATAAATGCATGAATAACTAATGGATGATATGAAGAAAGTATGACAATATATTATGTTTCAGTCCAGCTATTAAGGTTGACTGAATATCACTCAAGTTGATGTCTTCTAAGTGTGCTACTCCGTAAGCGTCTCCCTCCCTGGCTTGAGTGTGCGCAAAACAAAATGCTAGCACATCTTATGCAGTAAGCTGCAGAATTGAATAAATGGTGGCAGAATATTCCATCCTGTATTTGGTGGACAGTCTGGAATGAGAGGAACTCCAGATGTTTTGAGGATGTCAGGAACCCCATTAAGAGAATCATAATGAAATGTTTAATACTTTTTCTTCTTTGGTGTAAAGAATGCCCTGTAAATGATAGTGACTCCATACGTGCTATCATTGAATCCTTGTTAGTTTTTGTCGTGGGGGAATTCTTTACTGTTTTTGGGATATGTATTTTCACTTCCACCAGCACAAACTTAGTGCTGTTTTCTTTTATAAAATGTTATCATTCTCAAAATAAATAAATGTTGCATGTCATTCTGAATTGCTGCTTCCAAGCTATTAGTCTGGCAGCTCAAAATTGAAGGTTGACTAGTGCGTAAATGTATGTGACCCAAAAAAAAAAAAGAATCATCAAGGGTCGTAGGTTTCGGTGACGAGATATCATTTTGAAGGATGGAGCCATCAGTTCAGCTGCTGTCATGGATAGCCCTGCTGCAGCTTGTTCTCGTAATATGAAGCAAAGACTTAAGTTTTTGAAGCTATTTAGAAGTCATGTGTGTGCTTATTTACCTCCCACCACCATTCTCCTGCTTACGAACCGTGATTTAAAGTATTTCTTGTTGTTGAATCGTGCAGGAACACATAGTCCAATAGAAGTTGAAAAGGGAGTGCTCTGCATGAAGGAACTCAATGGTGAGAGAGAAGAACATCTTGAGGACGCCAACTCCCTCAGTAACAAGAAATTTAAGGAAAGCAATAGAGGTAATGGAAGGTTTAGACATTCCTCTCCATGAAGTAAGCTATATTATCCATCTTATATAACTTTGCTTGTGCAGGAGTGGCATTGAACCTAAAAAGGAAGCTGTGTTTGGAAGATTCTGGTCTGTTGAAGAGAACAAGAACAAATAAATGTGATTCAGGTTTGCTACAATGGAATAGGCTTAATTGTGTCTTATATCTCAATTCCCTGAACAGTAGTATTCTATCTCTTCATTTCTACTCAGAATGGTTGTTTCTGGTGTAATTTCAGGTATAAGAGAGAGAGAAGTTGATTTTCAAAAAGCTATTTCAGATAAGCCACTTGTATGCAGTTTGGCTAGTGAAAAGCTGAAAAGGATTAGAGATGATGAGATGGTTGTAACTACCCCTTTCAAGAGAATAAGATAATTTAACCAAATACTGACAGTTAGCAAGTTGTAAATTGGAGGCATGGTTATCATTGTACTCACCTGTAAATCCTTGCTAATGGGTTAAAGTAGTTGATGACAGAATTTTAATGTGGGAAAAAGCCTTTCTTGAGTTTGTCAACGTAGATTATATGACTTGCCTTTTGTAGTTTCCGATAGGTGAGATGGCTTTTTCCTTTTCTCGATGCCTACATTATTCACCATATAATTAAATTTGTGGTATTTGAAGACCACATTACCACCTAACGTTGTGGTATTTAGCCACTCCATTTCAGAGGCAAATCTCTGGAGACGCCCGGAGGTGAAAGGTGTTCCAGTGGCTTATATTAGGGTGATTAAGGACATGTATGATGGAGCTAAGATTCGGATTAGGACAGTGGGGGTGACTCGGAGCATTTTTTGGTTGTTATGGGGTTACATCAAGGATCTGTGCTTAGCCCGTTCTTATTTGCTCTGGTGATGGACGCTCTGACACACCATATTCAAGGGGAGGTGTCGTGGTATATGTTATTCGTCGATGTTATAGTCCTGATTGATGAGATGCGAGGCAGTGTTAATGAGAGGTTGGAGGTTTGGAGACGGACCCTTAGTCTAAAGGTTTCAAGCTGAGCAGGACTAAGACAGAATACATGGAGTGCAAGTTCAATGGCGTGTCAAGAGAAGCAGACATAGAGGTGAGGCTTGCCTCTCAAGTCATCCCTATGAAAGGGAGCTTCAAGTATCTGGGGTCGGTTATCCAGGGGATGGGGAGATTGAAGAGGATGTCACGCACCGCATAGGGGTGGTGTGGATGAAATGGAGGTTAGCGTGTGGCGTCTTGTGTGACAGGAAGGTGCTCCCGGAACTTAAAGATAAGTTCTATAGAGCGGTGGTTAGGCCGGCCATGATGTATGGTGCAGAGTGTTGACCAGTCAAGAATTCCCATATCGAGAAGATGAAAGTTGCAGAAATAAGGATGCTGAGATGGATGTGCGGACATACTCGGCTGGATAAGATTAGGAATGAAGATATCCGGGTGAAGGTGAGTGTGGCTCCCATGGATGACAAGATGCAGGAAGCTAAGTAGATGGTTTATGCACGTGCAGAGGAGAAGCGTAGATGCCCCGGTAAGGAAGTGTGAGCAGCTGGCCTTGACAGGTATGAGGAGAGGTAGAGGGCGGCCTAAGAAATATTGGGGAGAGGTGATCAAGCGGGACATAGCGCGGCTGCAGATTTTCGAGGACATGGCCCTTGATAGGAAGTTGTGGAAGTCGAGCATTAGGGTTGTAGGTTAGGAGATAGGAGGCTAGTCTGATAGTGTTATGCTTTAGGCTGCTGGTGGCTCCAGTTGTGTCCTTAGTACTTCATTAGGGTTGTCAGTTAGGTTGTAAGAAGATAGTCTGGAAGTGTTTTGTCGTAGGATGTTAGTGGATCCTGTTGTGTCCTTAGTATTCCATCACGTATGTGTTATTACTTGTCTCTCTATTTTCTGGTTATTACGTTGTTGGAGTTATCTTTCTGGATTCCTTTGCTGTTACTGCTACATTGTCTCGTTTCATCTTATTGTTTCGGGGGTCTATCGGAAATAACCTTCCTACTCCGGAGGAGTAGGAGTAAGGTCTGCGTACACACTACCCTTCGCAAACCCCACTTGTAGAATGTCACTGGGATATTGTTGTTTGTTTGTATCTTCTTCTTTTTTTCAAAAGTTCAAATTTATTTACTAAAGCAATAGGGTACTTGTCTATTTAACCTACCTTTCGAAACATTTCTTAGTTAGAAGTTCCGGTGGAAAATGGATATAAGGATTAGTTACCTCCTATAGCAAAGGTTGATACCTTATTTATTTAAATAAATACCCTTTTAAAAAATTATATTCCACAGCTACCTTATGATTTTTTATAGCCAAATATCTATTTATGGCCACCTCCTACCCTTAAGCCATAAAATAAGCTTTGTATTATTTTTCTCTCATATCCCCTCAAATTTCTCCTATCCCCTACCCCATATCTATTCTCCCTCTCTCTCTCTCTACTTCCCGATGTCTTCTCCTCTACCGGACGCTGGAGCAATTGCCACCGTCACCGTTTCGACCGTGGCCGTTATTCATTGATACCGCCGCCCTCAGCCTCCCAATCTCATTCTCTGACGCAACATATCGGATCAACAAAAACCTCCGTTATTTCGCTGGTAATTACGTGCTAATCGTCGGCAACCGGAGGCAACGGTGGCGAGCGAAGACTGGATACTGATGTTGCTTCAACGAGACGACATTAGGGTTGCCTTGAACAAAGACGACGAAGTTGGGGGCTGAGCAACTTGAATTTTCTGTTAATATATTTCAATGTATCTCGTTGTATTTCATTGTATTCATTGTCTTTTTTTCATTGTATTTCAATGTATCTCGCTGTATTCTATGTAGTTCATTGTATTCATTGTCTTTTTTTTCATTGTATTTCAATGTATCTCGCTGTATTCTATGTATTTCATTGTATTCACTGTCTCGCTATATTCCATGAATGTATTCATATGTTTTTTTTAATTAATATAATTTATATATTCAGATGTATTATATAATTTCTCTGAAGATTGCTATGTTTTTGGGGTGCTTTTCGGTTGAGAATCTTTTTTATAAATGAAAATACAAAATTTGTGTGTTATAATTGAGTTTGTTGAGTTATATTAAGAGTCTATTATGTTAATTGATTCACTTTCCGTTTAAAAACAGTGTAATCCCCCATTTCACGCCGTGAATACAGTCGAATACAATAATCTGTCCAGCTGTAATCCCATGTTTCACGCCATGAATACAGTCGAATACAAAAATCTGTCTAGCTGTAATCCCCTGTTTCACGCCTAGAAATGCTACTGTATTCATGAATACAGTAGCTTAAATACATCGAATACACTCTAAAAAATCTGAAAACATAGCTATAGGAAGTAATATAGTAAATGGTAGCTACAACTAGCTAATAACCACTAAAACATAGTGGTTTCTGAAAGTTTCTCTATAAAAGATAATTACCCATTCATGTTATCCACTAAGAAATGGGTTGGATAATAAACTTTTTAAAAATGAATCAAATATGGATAAGATTCATATTATCCACTTAAAAAATGGATAACCAATTGATTTAACTTTTACATTTGCAAAGGCTCAAATTGGGAATGCCTCAAATTTAGAAGATTAAAAATTCTCCCAAAAGTCATGAATGATATAAATACCCATATTATATATCTGTTAACCCATTTTTTATCTGTCTTAAATATGGATCGGGCCGAATATTTTAACCGTTTTTTGAGTTACCGTTCTTGACCCATCAATATCTGACCGACCCGCCTGTTTGCCAACCCTAGTTACAAGAGTCGAAGATACTGGTACCTGATAATAAAAAAGTAGGGGATGCGAGATACGGGAACAGACATAAAAAGAAAAAAGAAAAAAAGGAACTCGACATAGTAGACCTATCCTAGCCTCATTAGCACTACGGTTTTCAATTCTTCAGCAATCACTCAGAGGGACATGTAAAGCTAAGAGCTAATCGTACACAAATGCGGTTGACAATTAATTGAATGATACAATGCTCAATCCTACATAAGGAAGCTTGAGGTTGATTCATAAAATCTATGCTATTAGTCCCGTGGAATCATGTAACATATTGTACAAAACCTCTTTATGTAGCTTCATTTGGAGGTTATCCAAAGTACTGCCAAGCAACAGCAATACCCGCCACCAGTATCACTCTGAGAATCAGCTTATAACTGACTTTTGATGATGATGCGGACGATTTCGGTGGTTCCAACGGTTTTCCCCTCAATTTAGCTGATAGTTTGGACAGTAGCACGCCTATAGGACTACTGTCCTTGGTAGCTGCAAGCAGGCAAAGAAAAACATCAAATCTGAAACACACTTTATTACCCAATTGTTATATCAACCAACTTCATTTAAATTAGTTGGTGTAAGTTATATGGAGCATCTGTCTCTTTTCTTGTTCATTTCATTCTGCTGCTAATAAAACAAACATCAAGATCAATATCTGAAACTCAAACTCGACCAATATCAACCACGTTCCCCCGTCAAATTAATAGTGGTAAAAAAGGGCAGCCCGGTGCACTAAGCTCCCGCTATGCGCGGGGTCCGGGGAAGGGCTGGACCACAAGGGTCTATTGTACGCAGCCTTACCCAACATTTTTGCAAGCTATGTGAATTCGCTGTGTTCATTATGTTGTATTTTCGCTGTGTTCATTATGTGAATTTGCTGTGTTCGCTGTGTTCATTATGTTGTTCATTATGTGTTCATTTAAGGAAAATAAGGATTTTCTCGGACTAGAGATTCTCCAATCCCACCCTTTAGCCATACACTGACATATAAATATTGACCAGAGTAAGAATAAGTTTGGCAAACACCAGCACGGTGTAAATGAAACAACAACAATACGCCTTAATTCCAGCAAATTGGTAATATATCCTTTTTTATCAGGTAGCAAGTTGGTAAATATCTTTTGCTTTCATTACCAGAAACTTAAAAAATATTAAAACAACTGAGTGGAGAAAAATATACATCCATGCAAATCCAACTGAGAAAGACTACTTTCACCATCCAGTAGAATCCCAGTGAGGTGTGCACTCTACTTATCAGAAATAAAGCAACATGATAGTTATATTTTCAGAGAGAAATTTACCTTTATTTTTCAGAAGCCTCTCCTCCTCTTCGACACGCCTACGTAGTGCATTAAGAAGTGATCCAAAATATAGAGCAAATACAGTGCATGTAATTGTGATGACATTGTATGGCATGCTAAAATCAGGAGTGGTCAAGGGTACAAGCAATACTTCTGTGTACCATAGAATAGGGCTTTCTTCCTGGAAAGAAGCAGATGCTCAATAGGATGCATATTCAATACAATATCATATTACATAAGAGCTTCACTTGTTTAACAATGCCAATTGGTACCTGTAGCTTGGATAAGAGAGGTGACTTGCAAGAAGATTTATCCTCAAATAAATGCAGCTTTGTTTTGATCTCGGGAAACCTGATTAAAGCTGATGGAATGTCAAAACCCTGATTAGCATCTGGAGGATACTCATCGATGTGCAGAAAACCCTGTGAAGAAATCCAAAGAAATAAAGGTAACGTTAAACCGG